GAGTGATTTCTTTTCCTCCACACAGCTGAATCACAATCTCTGAAGACGAACGGAACACTAAACCACAAATATTCACTCGAATGTGTTCGAATCAATTTCTACATGTGGCAAACAAAGTTGGAACTATAACTATATTTTGCATAAGTACGGTCATTAATTGCAAGTTTACGTCGTTTGTTCAGTCTATTAATAAATAACACTCAACTGAAATCACTATCAGATGTTTTATATATTAGGCTATGATATTACCCAGTTGACCAGGTCGAAGTAGGAGAAGAAACAATGAGTAGTGACATTTTCAGGATAAAATGAGTTCATCAAATAGATATTTCTCAATCCTTCAGGATAATCAACAAACAAAGAGCCCCACGGTTTACTATGGTTTGTCGAAGCTCTCGCCATCAAACATTTTCAACTTAACCTAAGCACTTAGAAACAGATTACAACTAACCTTTCGCTACCTTAATAACTGCAAAAACCTTTCTACGTATATATTTATAAATTTTTCTGATTTCGATTGCATCATCTCTCTATTAATTACTTGCCAACTACTAATAACTCAACCTAACGATTTCTCAGTTTCTTCATGTGATTACGCAACCTAATTACCCATATTTTTCGCACTCTTCTCTCTTCACTGTCATCCCGTTTCCACAGCTGCAAATGTTTCTATCTCATCAAACATAAATTGTCATTGATTTTGACTAGGGTTTGTGGTTATTAACCCTGTTTTTCCTCAACTCACTATCTTATTGTCAATCCTGAATTTAAAATCTCCATTTATTTCCACATATTTAAAGCATGTTATGTCAGGATTGCTACTAATAATTCACTCCAATTGTGGACTGTTTGCAGCTCATGAAAGATCAAGAAATGTAATCAGCTCACTTTATTCTGCAAAGTTTTCTGTTCTTGCACTCTTCAGATTTATTCAACATGAATTGACTTGAAATACAAAAATTAACTATCTCATAATGCTTAAACAGCGTAATGAGAAGACGAATATTATCTGAAACATGTTGTGATGTATTAGCGCTATACATTTCGAACAATCTGATCAAACATGGACTTGTCGAACTATTTTTATGAAAATTTACGAAAAAGGTCAATGAAGTTAATTTTCATAGCTATTGCCCAGTCCAATATAAACGTGGTTTAGTCAGATGCTTACTCAACAGGATAAACCGCATCTGAACCGATGACACCAGGGAGGAAGAAACCAACTTACTGATGACAACTCTGGCACAGAATGGATACCCGTTGAGATTTATCGACCGGTGCAAAAGTTATGTACCATTGAAAAGTACACAGTGTTCCGTTGCTAAGAAAAATGTCTACATCTCATTACCATTTAGAGATGATTCACATAGCTTTGTTGTGAGGAAAAGGCTTAGATCGGCCATCTGTAAGGTCGTCATTGTAGAAAAGACAAAGTCCATGTTACAGCACAAACCGAAACAATATATAAACGGTTACATCACATCCCACTGTGTTTATCAATTTACATGTATGTGTGGACACACATATATAGGGAGGAGTAATCATGATATGCAGTTAAGGAAGGTTGAACATGTACCTAAGTGGCTACAAAAACAAATGACCTCAACAGATCCGATAAGTGCAGGTGACAAACATCCATCTTCGTCTATCGTTAAACATATACTAGAAACTAACCATAGGATAGACATGAAAACAGCCTTTAAAGTACTACATAAAAGTGGTCAGAGCCGAGTGCTTAAATTTATTGAAGCTCTTGCCATCCATAAATTTAAACCCACTTTATGTATACAAAAACAATTCGTACTCAGGTTGAACCTACCTTGGTAGTACTGATTTTAATTCCATATTGGGTTTGTTTAATTAAATTTTGAGGGAGTTGTGGAGATTTGGAATTATTTCAAGTTGTTATTCATCGTAGACTGACATCAGTTGGAGGAACAAAGGAAACCTGGGGTCGTGGGTGCGCACTGCTGAGGAGTCCCATAATAGGACGAAACGGCTGTCCAGTGTTCCCAGGTTTCCTTTGTTCCTTCAACTGATGTCAGTCTAGGTTTGTTTATTTGATATATAGCGCACAGTGATACAGTGTTATTTACTTGATTACGTTTTGAGCATAAATTATTGCTCATAATCATATGAGCAATAATTTATGCTCGAAACGTAATCAAGTAAATAATACTGTATCACTGTGCGCTATATATCAAATAAACAAATCTAATATGGAATTACATTCTACCACAGTGCCCAAGTTTTACACTTACAGTACTGATTTTAATTTTCATACCAAGAGTAGGGTTTCTCTTTCTTTTTTTCCATCCCTTCCTATTCTTATGTTTCCTATTAACTTCATTGACCTTTTTCGTAAATTTTCATAAAAATAGTTCGATAAGTCCATGTTTGATCAGATTGTTCGAAATGTATAGCGCTAATACATCACAACATGTTTCAGATAATATTCGTCTTCTCATTACGCTGTTTAAATTTATCTGGTAATGAATAATAATTCATACTTACAACAGCATTGATACGGAATTGTTTATGCAGGAATCCGTCAGCATCATATCGATTCCCTTCAAAAACCAACGATGATCCATCACGTTGCACACGATCAGCCAGTTTGGATGCATTGAACAACGCTGGAGCTGGACGTTTGAAACGCCGAAATTTATTATTACTGTTGTTATCGTCCTCCGCCTCTGTGCCACGATTACGTTTTCGCTCATAATCGATTCGTGGCACTAATTTAAGACCCACCAAATTTTGTGCATCTTCCACATATTCAACCTGAAATGATTAAAAGTAAGGTAAGGAAATTGAGGTGAAAACGCAATCAACTTTTCCAATGAATACAATTACTAACAGAACTGTGAAGACAATTTTTATCCAAACATTATCACTGGTGATAAGTTCTGACATGATCGGGACACGGTAAGGTTTGACAGTGAAGTACAACCGACTGAAGTTTAGAGAACCTGAGTGCTGAGAGAATTGATAAATTTTGAAACCGACGGATAAAATCAACGTAGAACCTCGCATCGATTCAACTTGCTACACTTCACAGTAGCAAGCGAAGAACAAGTGTGGAAAGAACAGTGATATCAAAGAAGAGAAAAGCATGTCGGAGGAGAAAGGATCAGAAATCAAAGGTGAATGAAAGTCTTCGAGATTCAGATGTCAAAGAGTGAATGCATCTGCACCATTGTGAACGATTTTCAGCTGTCACCAACGGCCTCCAACCATTAATTCCTCTCGAGGATCCCAACCACGCAGCTTATGCCTCCCTACATAGCTCAGACTAACAGTCACAGACTTCATAGACTAATGTCACATCTTCGACTGGTCACCATCCAGAGCCTTCTATCAAACCATTTCCTACTTCGACCAATATTCCACGTCAAGGTAGCCGGTGACTCGGCACGCACAACACACATCAAAGCCATCTCAGTCAGTGGAGGTTTACAACCTTATCGATTGACTTGCTTCCCTTGTCTAGTACTCTCCACCTAACCCCGACATTACTCACATGATGATCTCATCCTACGTGAGAAATGCTACGAAGAAACCTGCGGTCAAAAACCTGCAATCTCTTTACATCTGCTTTCAACGATCATGCCTCACAGCCGTATAAAAGAACAGAATGAACTGCGGTGGAGTATACTCGTCCTTTAGTAGGTAGTCGGATATCATGCTAGTCAACACCAGAGATGATCCAAGTTTGCAAATGCCTAATGGGCCCTCTGTATCCAAACTGAGATTCCGTTAGCGACAAGCCCGTTCGGACTGACACAACTCCCCCAAGTAAGCGAAGTGGTTGCTACATTCAACCACTTTAGTCCAAAAAAAATCAAAACTCGAAGTTCACTCACCAACCTTATGCACACTCGTGCAGTAAACCTTCAGCCACACCTATTGTGTAACGGCTAATGTTACTACGTGGCTGCCGAAACCCCAGTAAGCAGACCTAGGTACCAAACAGTGACCCATCGATTTACATCATTCTACATTTGAAAGGTCCCAAACACTCAGATTTCTACCCGACGCGTTCAGAAGACCCTGCATTTTGTCAGCAACTTCACCTAGCAGGACAATGTCGTCTGTATACTCCAAGATAGTCAGATGACTTCCAGGGATTAGATCAATCCCTGTGAAATCAGAGGTACCTGAAGTCATGTATGTTAACACACATACAACCAAGTTAAACAGTAACGGTGACAGAAGGCATCCCTGGCGGACACCACTAGATGTCGTCAATTCAAATGACGACTCTATATAACCCTTTAAGCGACCACAACTAGGGAATATATACAACAACTAAATATCAATAGGCCTAAACGCTATCCCCAATGTGTGAGAGGAAGATACCTGCAGTAATCACTGTTCAAGACACATACAAAATCAACGTAAAACCCCACATAGAGGTACATCCGTTCAATTTGCTACACTACACAGTAGCAATTATGCGTGAATTGATGCAACTTGCAACTTTTTGAACATTACATTACACATACAGATATTATTTCAGCAGAGGTTCAATGGTCTAGGCGCACTCGACTTCAAAACAGTAAGCCATGGGTTCAAACCCCAACCGACCAACCAACCAAAGTCCGAGCAGCCAGCTGGCATCACTGGCCCTCACACCGGGTGCGGCTCGTTGCCTACTGCACGAACGTGCAGGTGGTTGCTGACTGTAAACCGGCTTGATTATTTCAGCGTTTCTCAAAAATAAACAAAAGCCAGCCATAATCCTTAGCGCGCAAACTCAACAATTTAACTATAAAATGAATAAAGAAAACACCATACACGAAATTCACCGCCTGAATTTCAAATAACATAGAGCTAGACGACTATGTAATTACTGAATAGGGGGTTAGGGAACATGAAGCATTGCTTTTTATACTAATCCACATAAACAGCTGCAGATATGATGCTAGGAGACCCAGTATGGACAGAACCCATTGAATTTCTACAACTTTAGTACCCAAGCTAATATACGAGTTAAACTAGGACACTGTGGTAGATCGTTATTTCATTTTAGTTTTTGTTTATTTGACGTGTCACATACGAAAACAGTATTATTTACTGAATAACAATGTACTATTCAGATTCATATCAGGTAGCTCCAAGTAACTCCAATAATACTGTTTCACTGAGTGACATTTTCTAATAAACGAATTAAAACGGAATTACAATCTACCACAATGTCTAAGTTTTACTCCTATATTAATGGTTTACATGGTCCTAACATTTTCTCCTTTGCGATATGGGCAGTCCAATTTTTCATATATCTAGAACAAGTACCAAGCCATTCCTATTGCACCTATTTATTGTTACTTCCATAGACATAGATTCAATTAACAACCTCTTTTCTCACCCAACTTAGCCTTTAAGAATTGTTACTCTGTCTCATCTTATTGTGTGGTTATATCCAATTGTATGAATAGTCATCGTCAAGTTCTTCCCCAGATTCACTAGCTTACTACCGTTTACGAATTTAGGCTAAGCTTCTGTGCTTAGATAGCCTAGTTGAACCTGGTCGACTACTTTCAACTATATATTTCAACTCGTAGGCACTTGGCCCCCAGACGGTTGGTCACGGGTTCGAACCCCGCCCCACTTACCATGGCCTAAGCAACCGGATAATAGCATTAGACCTCATAAGACACTTGTGGTCCCTTGCCTACTGCACAAACGTGTACAAGTTTGCTGGGTGGATTTGCTTTTCTTTTTTTAGAATCATTGCAAGGCATTTGGTAAATTAAAATACTTTGCCGAAGTGGAACAATAAGGCATCTCAACCTACAGGATGGTTTCTAAATGAGTATATGTGTTGAAATGTCACTCTTATTTCAGCAGTATTATGAATTCTCACTAACGCTTTTGAGGTGCCTTCTTTTTATGAAGCTTCTAATATACTTAAATCGGAAAGTATAAATAGGCTTTTTACGCAAATAAATTCAGTAGTGAACGCAGTCTAATTTACATATGAATTATAAAATGATGAGATAAGTAACCTGATGAAGAAACGTCCAGGAACAAACAAACTCCGAGTCTCTGAGTAAACCAAACACTTATCACTTCGACGTGTAAAACCTTAACACTCACTGTAGGATAAAAAAACCTGGTACTTACCAAGGCTAAATCATCACGATAGAGTCCAGATTTAATCCGGACCCATTGCTCAGGCTTAAGCTGACCAGTTTCTTTGACCACACGTACAACCTCTGTCATTTCCTCAATTGGAACAAGCTGCTGTTTATAGGTGGACAATCGTAAAGCAGTGATACCTTCAATGGCTTGTTTAACATGAGTTTGTTTGAAGGCTTCAACATAAATATATCCCTTTAAACCCTCTTTTGCAAAGGCCGATTTGATTTGAAGTGGAGTGTCAGAAAACTGGTACGCTATGAACTTACGCATCAGCGCTAATACAGTGGCTTTTTCTTCACCCATTTTGCATCGAAGTGCCCAAAGATTAGGATCTTTGATGCCTGGAAGACGCTCTTTTTGAACAATACTATCAGCCATTGCTTCACCATCACCGAAACGATCCACGTAATCTTGATTTTCATATCGTTCTTGATAATACCTTTCAATCGCCTCCTCATCCTGATCCATGATTTCACGTATTCTCCGGCGTGAATCTAGCTCACGAGCTGCAGGTACAGCATCCAACGCTTCCTCGTCTTCGGGACCAATAAGATCTGCATCTTCATCATACTCCTCGTCTTCTTCCTCATCATCTTCATCCACCGAAGCTTCATCATGGAACATGTCCTGTACAAAGACGAAAATTAGTTCAGTATATTCTCATCAATATGTAATGCATCATCAACGCCCACAGAATATTACTTAGGTTCTTAATGACTTCGATTGCCTTGCGATTTCATAATTTATGAGTTTAATCCGGCTATAAACTTTCTGCACTATGAAACTAAAAGCCAATCGCAAATTCATGGATGAAAAACTGGGATTATACTTATTGACAATCACATAACAAGGCCGACAGTGTAGGCTATAAAATAATGAGCGGCACTTATCTTTGGCAGAGTTGGCAGTTGACAGTTAAATTAACTGAGTACAACCTACATCCCGTAAAGAGAAGATTGCTCGCCTCGCAACTTATCAATGTACCGAGAACTAACCGTTAAACAGCTAAACAGTCATTATGTAAGTTACAGACTTGGGTATCTGCTCTTACCGATGCCTTTATTAAATATCAATGGGCGTTCCTTTGAAAAAACATAATACCTCGATTATACTTACCATGCTTATCAGTAACACGAAAACAAAGTCAACGCAGTAGGAAATATTTAAATAAACAAAGAATACGAAAATTGTTGCAGATCGGATAAGTACGGAGGAAAAAAGAGACAGAGACGGCAGTCAATCACTTTTGACATCTTAAAGATTTCAATTAGGAAGTCCGAAATTAAAACCCAGATAAAGTCAGTGGCCGATAACTTGATACAAGCGTAGCAGTCGACTGAAATTAACACCAGGCACTGAGGAAGATGGCAACTCAGCAACCAAGAATAGCCTATCTCTTCACTGTAGTTTTGTTTAACAAAAAAGCTAACTTACTTGAGACGTGTTAATGCCTCTTAACCTAGCCTTAAACCGTTTAGACAGATAGTCGGCGAATCTACTGCTGGTCTTCTGAAAAATATCCATTAGTCTGTAGTAATTTAATCCAGTTTTATCATTTTAAACAATGAAGGACGCTCATTAGTTCATAAAGAAAAGAGGCAATTCAGTGGGTAACTGGACCAAGATGTAGCACCAACCATGGGCTCTCTCATTGTTCAACTGACGCGTAAAGCAAACTTCAGGTCTCCTAGTTGTCATCCATGAGACAACCCAGAACGATGGTTGAAGACTGTAGATGATCTGGTTGTGTCTTTACCGATGGCACCCACACCTTATTTAAACCGTCATATCATATTCGCCTATTTCCTCTGCCCCAGTTATTTTTATCTCATAGTTTTCCACAGCCTTCGCGCATAACATTGCGATCCCCATGTCTTTCATCGTGTTGCCTTGTATCTTGATTTGCTGATCTAAGGTTTACTAACTTCGACTGTTACGCAGTAATTTCAGGTCCCAACAAATCGATAGCCAGAAGTACTTGACTCTTCCATTCCCGTCACAGCGTAAACTATTTGCACTGTGATGGGAATCTTCCTCAGTGCTGACACTATCTGAAAGACGTCTCTGGCATGGCAGGACGTCGAGAAATAAAGCCATTACAGCTCAACTGGAGCACCGAGATAGGTAAGCTCGACCACCACAATGAGTTAACAGCTGTCGGTCGATTTGTTTACGCTTCTTTCCAAACTATCCCTACTTCAGTCAGTAAAGATGAAGGGTCGGTAAACATAGTACGTTTAAGCCACCTCAGTCAGTGATTTACGTAATCAACTAGCCTACCCTTACCTATGAAAAGACCACTCTGCTGAAGCAGTAGTTTCACTAAAGAAATGCGATGTCAGAAAAGCGACGGTGGTTAGACGTCTAGAGAGACTCTAAACACTCTATCTATAATTATCATTCCGCCATAGAACAAGACAAAGTGAACAGACGTGCATTATGCTTGACATTCAAATATCTCACCTGCACCATTAGTGGCGTAATTTGGGAGAAGATCAAATGAGAACTTTGTGTGCCAAGATTTTATCGATCACCAGCTCACTGAAGCTGATGCATTCTTTAAGGTAAGAGAGGTGGTCACCGAGTTCGACCACTTTATAAATTAATATTTCGTGTGGAACAGTAGGTTGCGTTGATTAGGTTTTCAGGATATGTCACCCAGAGGTAGGTAATTCGACATAAGATTTATCACAATTGTTTATTCATACAATGTTACATTCCACATTTGAAGCTCATCAGTTTGGGTGATGAACTTTTAACCAGTCAGTTATTAGTTTCAAATCCAATCCCACCTACCGATATGTCTGTACCAAAGAGGTATCAAAAATCTTCGTGATATCAGGCTTACTTTCTAGTGAACAAATTAGCACCTATTCGCTGAGTTACAATTCTACACATAGCTTGAGCCAAGTCAAAAAGAGAGATGTGGTCAATGAAAATGATGAAAACAAGTTCATCAGAAAGCGATATTTAAAAAAGCAGAGTGAAAGGTAGTATGCTTGATTTCTGAACAGTATAAATCTGAATTAACACACCAAATCACCACCAATATGTTTCCTAGCATGCACTAACCATAAAACTTCATGTTTCTTATGATTCCAACTGACAACCAGACTTTATACGTTGATTATTTTAGTTTGATTGCTTTTCATTCTCCTATCGTAACTCTACTTCAGCTAATAGTATATGGTCACTGATATATGTGTATAAGTAACACTACTGTTAACAGATGGTTTCATGCACCTGATAAACTTACCTGTTACACCACAACCATACTGAAAACCAGTGTACACCTAACTTTATCGACCTTAATGCTTACACATTTCTTTTTTTGAGTAATCGTTGACTTGTGTTAATTTCTTTACTTTCAGCCTCATCATTAACATTGGACCAAGTATTACTGCATAACGGTCCAAGCTGCCACACCTCATATCAGCACATCAGACAAAAAAAAGGAAGAAAAACAGAGAAGAACCAGTCGGAAGTCGTGATAACATAACAAGTAGGAAAAATAGAGTGCTGAATTCAGTTTGACGCCAAAGATAAGGATAGTCTGTAGATGTATCTGCGCTACTTAGATCGATTCCGAGCCATTTTAATAACAGCCTCCAACCCCTGGTTTCTGTTGTCACCTGGACCCCAACCCGGAGGTCTACATTCCCCTACACAACTCAAACCAACAGTTAACGATTTCATGAACTGATGGTGCCATGTTTTAGTCTTGCCGCCCCTAACTATTCTCTAATATAAATCTACCTTAGCTAACATTTTGCGACAAGGCATGCGTAACACATTTCATACACAACTCAGTCGATGAAGGTCCACAGCTTGGTCAACTCACTTTCTTCTCCTTTCTAAAACTCTACACCTGACTTCTGCGTTAATGACGTGGTGACACCATAACACACTCCCTATACTACGAAGGCAACGGTGGTCGAATACCTAAAGCCTCACATCCTCTACAGTCAATGGTCATGTCTCACAGTCATACGGCAGAACAGAGAGAACTGTAACCCAGTACACTCGACCCCTAATCGACAATTGGGTATCACGGCAGTGTCATAAGTGGTGTAAGTTAGCGAAAACCAATCGAGTCTTTTGTATCCATGCAGGAATTTCGCCCGCCACTAAGTCGCCAAAACTGACCCGACTTCCCAGGTAAATGAAGTGTTTAAAGCGCTTGACCATTTCCCTCCCTACTACTAACCAGGACACTGCTGAAGACCGGTCCTGGAGCAGAAACCTACATCTGGGTGGCAAGGGACGCATCTCAGATATTCTTAAGCTGCCAATCAAATTTTTTGGAAGACTCACCATTTTATCAGCATTTTTATCTAGTAAGAGTGTCCCATCTGAGTACTCTAGATCAAATAAGGGTTCTCCTATGATAAGGTCAATCAATCCATGTAAAGTCAGATGACGACAGGGAGACCACCACAAACATAAAGTTGAGTGGAAATGGACACTACTCGACGTGTACAAGTTACCTGACGACTCGCCATAGGCTTTGATATACTCACCGGTGTTTCAGTACTGACCCTTTAAGAGTTACGTATTCGATACCCTTTTCAGTAGGAGGCACCGCCATACTTTCAGCTTGACAACTTTTTACTATACGCATACGTTTTTTACGTTCAGATCTTATTATATGACAGAAATCTCATGAAAATAAGGCGCACTTCTAAAGGTAATAAATAGTGATAACGTTCAATTAGTACAACTTCAGGTTGAGAAAGAACGAGTCACGCCACCTCGGCACGACACAAAATTGCGACTACACTCGTAACTAGATATCTAAATCGGGGAGATATTATTACCTTGAAACTTCATCACCATAGCATACCAGCGAACTGTGTAGGCCCACTCGACAAGTACACAGCAGTAAAAAACCAACTTAAAATAAATTGAGTATGAATATGAGTTGAGCATAAAGCTTCTCCAACTCTCTATTAATCACCTTGATTGCGAAGTTCATCCGCCTTTTTTTCTTCGACGTCAAGCCAGGTTCCTCATCTTCATCAACCCCATCATCTTCCTCGTCGTCCTCCTCCTCTTCCTCTTCATCATCCGAAAGATCATTTTTAGTATACTTCTGGGGTTTGCCTTTCTTCTTGGGTGGAGACTGGTTAGCGGACAGGTCTGAATCCGAGTAGTCACTCATCCCGACTGACCGGAGTACCGCAGAAACCAAACTCTGCGCTCTTCAACACTCAAACTACAAACTTCAAACTTCGTGTTGTGGAATTAGTGAGCGGCGGTTCCTTGGGTTCTAAGTTTGTCTTATTGGAATACATTCTGAGTTTGGAATGGTCACAGTTATCTCCTCGATTCTGAAAAACCTGAAAGAATAGAGATACGATTATTAGTTAATCTGGTCTCAAGGTAGTGTTACTGCATTTCATCTTGGGAAAGCTTCTCGAGTACAGCCCATCGGTACCGTAGGACTCGAGGTGTGCATCTAAACTCCTTTTAAAAGTATCGGGGGATGGGGCTGTAACAACTGCTGAAGGGAGGGAGTTCCACAGTTTACAAACTCTAACCGCAAATGAGTTAGCACGGATCTCTGTACGTGCTCTCCAGTGCTCTATTCTTAAGGTGTGACCCCTCAGATCGCGTTTCTGACTAAAGCCTAAAATAAATCTGTTAGGATGGAGGGGATTATGGGTGATGTGGTACATCATGATCATATCCTCTCTGATCCTCCGGTATTGTACCGGGTGCAGCTGAAGAGCAACTAAGCGGTCTGGGTACGGTTTGTGTCGTAACCCAACCACTTTCTTTGTAGCTCCTCTCTGTACCCTGTGCCTATGTCCTTTTTCAAGTATGTGGAAATCACAAGCGAATTTCTTTCCAGACGAGGGCGAATGTACAGAACATATACTGTAGTGAAATAACAGTTAGACACCCTAAATTTCGCGAGAGAAACCCTAGGATTTCATATGCCCTATTGGCTGCAAGGCAACAGTCGACTGGGGCTTCTAGTGTATCATTTAGTGCAACTCCCAGATCTTGTTTCATGTAAGAGTGACAGATATTTATTTCACTCAGAGAGTAATAACTGGGACTGCCTTTATGTTTGTCAACTGTCATAATTCGACACTTCTTCGGGTTGAGAAGGAGCAGATTTTCTGCAGTCCAATTAAGGATTTTCGTAAGGTCCTCCTGAAACACCGAAATATCCATTGGCTCCTGTATTTCCCTCCAAATCTTCAGATCAGCGGCATATAGCAGTGAATGTGAATTGGGGACCCATGGTAGGTCACTGATTAAAGAAAGAAATATTAGTGGGCCCAGTATAGAACCTTGAGGGACACCACCCAGCATCGTTAACCAATTAGATAGAGAGGAAACAACTGTATCTGACTGAAACTTGGTGTACAGATAATCTCCAGGCCAAATTATTAATTTTCCATGTAGAGCCATGAGCTGAAGTTTCTTGCAAAGGACATCATGATTGACCCTGTCAAAGGCCTTAGGAAAGTCAAGTAAACCAATGTGTATAGGCTTTTCTGCGTCAGAGACAGTGTCCGCCTATTCCTATTGGTGTTACATGACCTTCCTGGTAGAAAGCCATGTTGGCAGTCATTTAGGATTGATTTATTAAGTGATCACGAGGTGAATTATTTATGACTCTCTCCATGACCCTCGCAACTGAAGAGATCAGGGAGATCGGTCTGTAGTTGGAGACAAATAGTTTGTTTCCACCTTTATAAGTTGGGACGACAGCCACCCGTTTCCAGTCAGAGGGTAACATGTCCAGAAATCAACATCTGAAGAGGTTTGTGGTGGTCCACTCAGAATATTGGCACACTCTTCGAGTGCTCTTGGGTGGATCCCATCAATTCCTGGAGACTTATTTGGGTTCAGATTCTTTGATATTCCCATAATTATAGAGGGTTCAAACTCTATATGGCTTAGCCCCTCTGTAATACGGATGTCTGACAGGTGCGTGGTTTTGCCTCCCAAATGACAGAAGCTGTTTTGGGGTTCATGAGCTAGTATATTTGCCACCCCGGAGTTAGAATGGAGAATCTCTAAGCTAACGGGGTCCTGTAAACTAAGTGAATTGTTACTGTCAGCGAGTACAGTATCCCATGATTTCCCTCCAGGGTTCTATAAAGTTGTGTCTGGTGGTTTATTCTGCCATTTCTGATTCTCATTGTGCGTCCGTTACGAATGTCTTTATAATTTATCCACTCAAAAGGGTCGTCAGCGCACCTGTATAGATTCCAAGATAACCGTTTACGCCGTATTAGTTTGCGCGTGCTTGACTTAAGCCGAGAGGAGTAGAACTTGTTGGTTCTTCTTGGAATCGGAGGAGTGTTATCTTTTATCGTCAAGACGATCACGTTCTTCAACAGATCCTATCTGGCATCAACATCCAGTAGGTCATCGCAATTTAAGCAATCGAAACCTTCTATATCTTGCCGAACCTTCTCGAAATCAATTCTTTTCTAATTCCTGACTAGTGACTGATAGGGAACGGGTGGCTTAGATATAGAAATACTGAGGGAGATAACTGCATGGTCATTCAGGCCAAGAGGACTGAAAACATTCAAGCTGCTGACCCCCAGTGAACCGATTTGTGAAAATGTAGTCTAGTCGGGATACCTTACCGTCAGTCCCCCAGCGAGTACACTGGGAGACATGTTCGGTCAAGGGGTTTTCCAGTGACAATTCCAGAAAGTCATTTAGAACAGTAGATGGACTTTCTGTGGTAAACAGTTGAAGAAAGTTAAAATCTCCCATGATGATGACCTGTGGGAAGTTCAGTTCCAGGGCTCCTCTGACGGACCGTAATAACGTTTTATTTAACGTGGCACCAGCTGCAGGAGGGCGGTATAAAACTCCAACTAAACACGGGCCTCCGCAGCACTTAATGCTACGCCATTGGACATCTTTAATGCCAATTCTATGAGATTGAATCTCATGGACTTTTAGGGAAGGGCAGGTGTAAAGATCAACGCCACTTCCTGGTCCTTCCCGTTTATCCTTCCGGATTAGGCTCAGCTGTCCTAAACGAACTTCTTCGTCTTCTGTGTTCTCTGAGAGCCATGTTTCATAAAAAGCCATCATGCTAGGGCTATCGTCATCCACTATTAACCTTAACTCAGGTACCTTGGAGCGCAGGTTGCGTACATTATTGTAGGTACAGCGAATAACAGTATGATGGCCAGATGACCCGGAAACGGGTTGAGTTAAAGGTGTATGGCCAGCCTTTAAATGACCGGCTTTGATGAGTTTTTTGATAAAGCGGTGGAGTCAATGGCTACCAGATCCACTGATCTCCTTGACTGAGAACTAGTGCAGGGTTCTTCAATCTGGGACAAGGTAGACAAAAGCTCTTGCTCATCCAGCCGTTCTATCGTTAGATGTGGGTCGGCCAACAGTAAGCACTTAGTCTGCTTTTGCTCCCTGGGTCTGCACTCACTTATCTTTGTTTCTCTAAGGTATGTGTCAGAAACATTATGCCAGGATTCCAAGGTAGTTCTAACCATGTCCGGAGAGTCAAGGGTTACTTGGAGTAGCCTAGGAGTATGAATAGTCGAGAGGTGAGCCAGCCTTGGAAGGCGAATAATTCCTTCTACCCTCACACAGATTTGGGGCTTGCTGACAATGTATCTCCTCTGATTTATATCGTGGATAGTTTCAGCAGTATCGGTACCTGAACGTTCGGGAATCCCGTGTATGATAACTGAGCAGCATAGTTCTTGACAGTGGTTTTTCTTGCCGTTGCGAAGTTCTCGAACTGACTAGGTTCTATCAAGCCTGATCCTGACGTCAGACAGTTTACGCTTCACCAACTGATGACCTTTCATAAGGATGTGTTCGGAGTGACCTACACTATAGAGAGACACTCTCAAAGGTCTGCAAGAGCCTTTGGGGGGAACTTACTGCGTGCTAGGCGTTGAAGAGATGGGCTGCGGGGAGAGGTTCATAGGAGTTTGCAGACACTCTTCCATTGGACAAGATCATATTTTTCATTATTAGTCAATAGGGAAGAGCCACCTTCCTGAACTTTGAAGAGTATGAGCGATCTAAGGTTAAGGTTATGGTCCGTCTTTTGGGGCGTATTCCTCCCTGTGAATGCAGACTCAGATTTCTGATTGGCCTTTTGGTAGTGACTCGGGAGACCTGAGGTGCCGGCTGTGGGGGTTATCTTGATGATTGTACGAGGCTGGTAGTCAGATGCAGGTGGCTTCCGCCATGGGTTAAGGGTGCTGGGACCAGATCTGTTTTTTTCAGAAAGTTTCACCTGAGATGGAGGGTCAGTGGTCAACTCATGGTTCGGCTTCCCAATAAGCTGAGTAGTCGTTACTTTGTCAGTCTTACGATCGTTACCTAATGTTCCATTTTCAACTGATCTGACCCGCCTACATTTCTTCAGACCTTTTTTCGGCGCTTGTCGGATGTGAGGTTCAGTTTCATCACTGAGACGATCTGCTCCAGAGGCATGCTAACGGGGAGACGGTCCGTGACAGTGATAAATTCGCTACTTCCCTTACTGTTAACTTAAAGGGTTATTTTATGGCCATGAGACTTCTTTAGATTGAGGCTGGTTCGTGTAGAGATCTCACTGGTAAAGTAATCGAAGTTCTGTCTCACTAGCTCTAGGCCCATTTGGTACTTACTTTTGGACCTATGACATGGACAAAAGTACGAACCTCCATCAAAGGGGCTATTAGGCTGTGCCTCATAATAACCAGATAGCTGGTTGGAATCACAAGAGCAGTGAGTCAATTGAGAGCAAAGCTCACAACCCATCGCCTTAGCTGAGCAGCTGACATCTCTGCAACAAACCATGCAGACATCTTTTGAAACTGTCATTTAGACTGAATAAAGGGTGAAAAATGTTGGCTCAATGAGTTCCGAAACCTCAACAGAGTAAGTATAACAAACCAATCAAAATTTGTCAAACCCCACTGTCCCTTTTCAAATGGTTCAGATGGTTGTTGACAGAATAGAAGCTTTCCTTTGACTGGCTTCCGCTTCTGTAACCGTGGATCACCATTCCTTTCGGTTGTTAACCTGTTGTACAAGTAAAGAAGGATGAAAAACTGGCAGTTAAAATGTGAAAATTCACTTAGTTCTGGACAGATCTCAGCCACGCATCAAGTAGGTATCCAGTCGGCGTTTAAAATATCCACACAAAGTAGCCTGGATCATATCTTCAGGAAGAGCTTTCCAGGATTTAACAACTCTTAGGGAA